TAAAGTATTGGACTAGTACTGGGGGAGGGGAAACCATTTTACCACCACCACCCCCAGTTACAGAAAGCCCCTGGGTGACTTTGAATCACTTGCTGTGAGCCCAACTCAGACATAACAGAGTTGGTGGGGGGGAAATAAAGGAAGGATGCTTTATACGTCTCTCGAAGGAAGGCAGAATATCCAATAACAGGATAATTTCCTATTGAAAGCTGCTGGGAAGGAAGCAGGAACTCTGGCTGAGGCAACTGCTTCTCTGGCTACCTGGCCAGATTCGAGATTCAGTGGGGCTGATTCCTCCTTGCAGGGCATAAAGCTGCATTGACCACATGTGGCAACCACCAATGGTGTGTGGAGGGCAGTCCAGGGCACACCTGCTCAGATGGGTCTCCCTGCTGTCCAGGAAAGCTTATTCCCAGCTAAAAGGGTGGGGAGAGAGAACAAGCAGAATCAGGCAACCCCAAGGAATTTGCTGACTGATTGTGCGTAAAAGGGCGGAAGTACCAGGAAATGTGTGACAGGGATTAACAGTGGGAGCCACACTCCAAAAGATTAGGCAAGGTAGGACAAAGAGTAAATTTGTTTTCATTTGAATTTAATTAAACTTAATTGAGCTATTTAAATGCAAATAACATGATAAACAATTCCCTCCATTTTTAATTAGCTTTTCTACCTGTCATATCAAAAAACCCATCCCAAGGGGCTCTGGGGCAGGACCCGCTTTGGCAGCCCCTCAGAGATATTTTGCTCGGCCAGAGAAATGGGTCCATCTCGGATTGCCAGAGGCATCAGCTGCAAGTTTGGGGAGGTTGCCCCACACCCACTCTCTTGGGGGCAAGAAATGTCAAGATGGGTGAAAGTCTGTAGAGATTCTCTGTCATTCAGGTCATGGTTTTTCAGGAGGCAACTGGACTTTCTTGTTTTTCTTTTGAAGATGTTTCGCTTCTCATCCAAGAAGCTTCTTCAGCTCTTCCCCACTATCCTGTCAGAGGCAAACATCTTCAAAAGAAGAACAAGAAAGTCCAGTTGCCTCCTGAAAAAGCACCTTTGGGTCAAGATGGGTGGCTGTGGCCGTAATACATGTAAAACATGGGTGGTGCTTTAGGTGGGTACTTGCAGCCACGACTTTTTGGATACCCTTTTCTCCCACTAGTTGGGCAAAGGGCCAAGTCCGTAAGCCCTCAAGGCTCACCAGGACAGAGGTCCTGATGGAAACCTCTGGGTGGCCCTTGGTGCCCAGAATTGTTCTGAGGAGAATGAAGAGGGAACAGAGAGGGAGTTTAAGGTGGGGAGGAAGAGAAATAAAAAGGCTGAGAAGGAACCATGAAGGCAACTCAGGTGGGTTTCCCTCAATCCCCATCCTTATGAACACCACCTACGCTCTCAGCTTGGTGTTGCCAGTCTTAGGCAGCTGCTTTGTTTCAGCTGCTTTGACACAGAGAGTGAAATATAGTTTTTCACCACCGCAGGAAAAACAAGAGCCCAGGAGCTCCATTCAAGAGAAATTAACACTCTTAATAATGGCTGCACATTTGGAAGAAAATGGCTTGAGTGAGAGTAAATCCATAGGCAACGAGAGCAACCGGCTTACTCAGTGCAGACGCCGCTGGCAGGGAGGGCGGGGGGATGGGGGCTTTGGGCTCTCTCCATCCAACTTGTGGAGGAAAGTTAATTTTGCTAAGGCAACCCTGGGCTTCTTGACTCCCCCTCCCCCGGGCTCTGCCAAGCATCCCAATATGACTGGCCAGCTGAGGGGTTTAGACTAAAGGCTGGCTTAGCCTTCCCAACATAGCTGGTGGGGTCAGGGCCACGAGGCGCTTAGGAAATCTGGACATGTGGCCAGAACCATATTCAGCTTAGAAAATAGACAGCAAACAGCTTGTGATGTGGTCCAAGACTGGCCCTCAGTAACAGAGGGATGGCTGGGGAGGGATGCTATCAGCAAACATCTTCCAAAATATCAGTAGAGGAGGAGGAGGAGGAGGAAGAGAGGAGGAGGTAGAGGAAGAGGAGGAAGAGAGGTGAAGGAGGAAGAGAGGAGGAGGTGGAGGAAGAGGAGGAAGAGAGGAGGAGGTGGAGGAGGAGGAAGAAGAGAGGAGGAGGTGGAGGAAGAGGAAGAAGAGAGGAGGAGGTGGAGGAAGAGGAAGAAGAGAGGAGGAGGTGGAGGAGGTGGGATTTCTGGCGGAGGACAGCAAACCCCTCACCAAGGGAAGCACCAGCAGATCTTCTGGGCTTCTGCTGGAGCCTGGAGGAGCGTCCAATTGACTCAGCTTAATGGAATTTCATGCTAGGCTGAACCCCAGTAGGTGCCTCCGAAGCCACATATTTCGCAGAAATTAAAATGAATAAATTATGAGATTGCTATCTGTATGTGCTTGTGTGTTTAACAAATTATGCCCCAATGAGTTATGCTCCCCACCCCCAGCTCAGCGGGAGAAGAGCGATGCTGCCACCCCTTCAGAAAGCTCCTGAATGCTCAGCAGTTATGGAGAGCTCTGGAAAGAGGGAGGAAGCCCCGTCCGTCTCTTTTGCAAACGTGTTCGCTGAGTTCAATTCAGAATTGAGTTCCGGCTGGGACAGGCAGAGCCTATTATATTTTCTTCCAAATTATTTTCAATGAGAGATGCAGAAACAGCGTTTTTTGGCAGTGATAGGAAAGATTGAGTAGAGTTTTTAAAAGGTTTTCAGGTGCTGAGGATTGATTGGGGAAAATACAGGAAGCTAACTCTCACTATCATCAAAATGCAGCTGGAAGGAAAAAGAAGCAATGAATTCCCAAGGCCATTGAAGCCTGCAAGTGTGAAAAAACAGCACCCAGAGACCCTTGCCCAGAGTCCAAGAAGGATGCGTCTCTGCAGGCCCCTCTACTCTCATTTACTCTCCTGGCATCCCTGACTTTTTGTGGCCCGATTTGTGTTAGCCCCGCCTGTTCCCTACTCCTTGGACTTTGTGGCTGCTCTATGCTCATCAGTTTCCATTGGGGGGGGGGGGGGGGGGGGCCGGGGGGAAGGGCAAGGGGCATTTTCCTCCTGTTGCTAAGAATTGACCCACGTTCCCCATTTGGGATTTGGGAGCTGGACTAGCAGTAAGAGGTAAAGCCCAGAGGTGGGTTGCTACCGGTTCGCCCCAGTTCGGGCGAACTGGTAGCAGTGGCGGTGGGAGGCCCCGCCCACCCACCCGGACGTCATCAAATACAATCTGCGCATGCTTCTGTGCACGTGCAGAAGTGGCATGCGAGCGAGCGAGCGAACCAGTAGCAAAGGTAAGTGAAACCCACCCCTGGTAAAGCCCCTCTCCACCACTCCAGGGTCCTGGGTCACTCTTTTGCCCCTCCCCCTGCAGAGCTTAAAAGTCTGTGCTGGCAACATGCAGGGAGATCTCTCTCCTTCTCTTTCTGTCCAGGGCATGAGAGATCCTCAGGTGCAGTGGTGGGGAAGGAGGGCTCCATCTTGTGGGGAGCATGAATTTGGGTAGGCACTTTGTCTCCTGGCCCCCACAACACTTCCACCTCCAGATCCATCACGGGGCCAAATGGGGTGCAGATTCTCAGGGCCAAGGAAGACCCTGAGCTGGCAGGGGTTCTCTTCCCCACCCCCTGCAATTCCCTTCCATCCCGTTTGGAACCCTGTAAACAGCTCGTTTTGAGAAGTGTGCCTGGGAGTGTTTGTGTGTGTGTGTGTGTGTGTGTGTGTGTGTGTGAGAGAGAGAGAGAGAGAGAGAGAGAGAGAGAGATCTGATGTAATAGGAAAGCCCTAGCAATGGCAATTCACTCTTCTCAAGGAAACTTGGATGGTAAGAAGGATTTTCCCAAGGCTGTTTTGTTACCATGAAGCAAATAGCACAATTAGGAAAAAAGGGTTATTTATGGGGTCTTCATGAGACTTTAGAGATTGTTTAGAACAGGGGTCTTCAACCTTGGCAACTTTAAGACTTATGGACTTCAACACCCAGAATTCCTCAGCCAGCAAAGCAAAGCTGGCTGAGGAATTCTGGGAGTTGAAGTCCACAAGTCTTAAAGTTGCCAAGGTTGAAGATCCTTGGTTTAGAAGTACAGGTAGTCCTCAAGTTATAACAGTTCATTTAGTGACTGTTCAAAGTTACAGCGGCACTGAAAAAAGTGACTTATGACCATTTTTCGCACTACCATTGTAGCATCCTTGTGATCATGTAGTCAAAATTCAGCTGCTTGGCAACTGACTCATACTTATGACCATTGCTGTGTCCCAAGGTCATGTGATCCCCTTTTGTAACCTTTTGACAAGAAAAAAAATCAATGGGGAAGCCAGATTCACTTAACAAACATGTTACCAACTTATCATCTGCACCAATTCATTTAACAACTGTGGCAAGAATGGTCATAAAATGGGGCAAAACTCACTTAACAAATGTCTCACTTAACAGCATAAATTTTGGCCTCAGTTGTGGTCGTACGTCAAGGATTGCTTGTAATGGACATTGAATGAGATGGGCAGCTGTAGACATTGAACAAACAAACAAACACAACAAATAAATAACCCATCCAGAATCTCCAGGTGGTCCTGCCATCACTGGTGCACATTAGACGTTGGAGTATACAGTATGTCTTCCTTTGCTTAGAATGGAATAGAGCTGGAAGGGACCTTGGAGGTCTTCTAGTCCAGCTCCCTGCTCAAGCAGGACAACCCATACCATCACAGACAAGTGACTGTCCAGTCTCTTGTGTTTTTAACCAGTGATGGAGAGCCCACGATTTCTGGAGGCAAGCTGTTCCACTGGTTAATTGTCCTCACCATTAGGAAGTTACTCATTAATTGCAGGTTGCTTCACTCTTTGGTTAGTTTCCATCCATTGTTTCTTATCCTGCCCTCTGGTGCTAATTTGACCCCCTCTTCTTTGTGGCAAATACTTTCTTTCCACAAATACTGGGATACTGCTATCATGTCATCCCCCTAATTCTTTTTTTATTAGACTAGCCAAATCCAATGCTTTCATTGCCTTCATTTCATTGTCTTTACCTTTTCTAGAGAGCCAGAATCGGTCCAGGTTCAAAAGTTGCGGAAGAAAAGACAGCCAACACCATCTCCAAATTTGACAACAACGGGAACCGTGATCGCATGAAACTGTCTGACTTCAACTTCCTGATGGTTCTGGGGAAAGGCAGCTTCGGAAAGGTGTGTGCAACCACTCAGGTTCTCTTTCATTGTTGACTGGGATCCAGCCTTCTGCTTAGCCATAGTTTGCTTGAATATGGTTTACCAAATACTCACACCATGAGACCGAGGTTGAGAAACACTACACTAAGCCAAAACAACAGAAACCATGTTATGTCACAGTGAATGAGCTCAGTTGTTTCCAGAAAGTTGTTTTTCCAATTGGGTTACAATTTGCGCTTAGCCTTATGCCACCTGGGCTCTCAATCATAGAAAGAATGTTCTAACTGGTGCTTCACAGTTTGGGTTCTGTTGGCCAGTTGAGTATCAGCAGGCTTACGTTTTGAGATTGAAATGCCATGAATGGAAACTTGTGTGGAAGTTGGCGTGATGGGAAGTTGGGAGTTTCCAGTGAGATATATGAACAAAGACTGAATGGGCCTCAACAGAACGCCAATAAGTATGCCACAGTAATGGCTCTTCTGTCACAGTGCCCAAAATCTCAAGGATAAATCTTATAAGGAACAGTTAAGCGAAGTACTGTAGGTATATTTAACTTAAGGGAAGAAAGGCTCAGAAGAGACATGATAGCCATCTTCCAGCACTTGAGGGACTGTCACAGAGAAGGAGGAGTCAACCTATTCTCCAAAGCACCTGAGGGAAGGACAAGAAGTAATGGGTGGAAGCTCATTAAAGAGAGATCCAACCTAGAATTAAGGAGAAATTCCCTGACAGTAGAACAATTAATCAATGGAATGGCTTGCCTCCAGAAGTTGTAGGTGCTCCATCATTAGAGTTCCAAAAATGCTTTTTCAAAAGGCAACTGGATTTTGTTTTTCCTTGAAGACTGTTTCACTTCTTCAGTTCTGACTGAATGGTGGAGGTTGGAAGGATTTATACTTCTTGCAATCATCTGGTCATTAGCACTCATTCTCAGAGTCATTGAGGCCACTTTGAGGTTCATCTGTGCCCTCAGGGTCACCTGAATAGTGCAAATGGGCTGGAGTCTTCTTGGAACTGCTGAAAGGACTGTGTTGTAGCCCACTCCCTCTGTTGAGAAGGGCTGGTCAGGCTTAATGTAGGCGGCCTCTTTGACTCCTCTTTCAAACCATCATTGGAGGTTATCAAGAAGAGATTGGACAACCACTTGTCTGGAATGGTATAGGCAGGGAGTTGGACTAGAAGGTCTCCAAGGTCTCTTCCAGCCCTAGATTTTATGATTGCAGAATCTGCAAACCATCCAGTAGAAATGTTAAAGATGGAAACATTTAGTCCATGTACATGAAGGTTCCTCTGCTCATTGAAAAATGAACAAAGAGCATGAAAGGTAGTGACTCCTTGCTCACGGTTCAGTCTTCAGCCGGCTCTGCTTCCTCAGAGAGGGAGAGCTTGCCAAAAGAGTGTAATCACTGTCTTCATTAATCAGAGCAAAGGTCTCTTTGGAGGACTGAGGTTGGTTGAGCCTTGTCCCAACCATAAATGATGATCGAGGGCAGGGCTGTCAAACTTGATCCCATTGTGCACCATATCAGGATTTTGTTTTGCCCTTGGGGGGCCGGGGTGGGCGTGGTTTGGTCCTTGTGGCTGACTGAGGGGCCATGGCCAGGGTGGGCTGAGGCCGGGCAGCACAGGCCGGTCCTTGCCGTCTCTGGGACAACCCTGCAGGACAACTCTGGGCCTATCACAGACCGGATGCGACCCGTGGGCCGCGTATTTGACACGTCTGATCTAGGGAGACTCAGCAGGACAAGAGGGAGGCGAAATCTTGGGCAGCCCTACAGAATGGACAGTTCAGCATGAACTATCCATTCTGTAGTGCCACCATGAGCCGTGGTGGTGCAGTGGTTAGAATGCAGTACTGCAGGCTCCTTCAGATTGCTGGCTGCCAGCAGTTTGGCAGTTCGATTCTCATCTGCTCAAGGTGGACCCATCCTTCCATCCTTCCGAGGTGGGTAAAATGAGGATCCAGATTGTTGGGGGCAAGAGGCTGACTCTGTAAACCACTTAGACAGGGCTGGAAAGCACTGTGAAGCGGTATATAAGTCTAAGTGCTACTGCTATAAAGCTTTCCTCCATATATAATTTTTATTAGAATTTTTTGCAGAAGTAAAAAAAAATCATATAGAAATAAATAAGGAAAAGTTAAGAAAAAGATGTTAAATAGTGCGAAAACACTTGAAAAGATTAAAAAAAGAAAAAAAATCAATCTTTTTTTACAGCAGTTAGAAACAAACTTCTTACGCCACCCTCCTCTTTAAATTGTGTTACACGGGTTCCTTCTTCCTATTTTCAACCCTTTTTATTCAGCAAATCCAGAAATCAACATTTCATTTTTTTCCCCATTTTCAGCAGGAAGGCCATCAAAGGTTTCCAATTTTTCTAAAAGTACTTAACTGTTTTATCCCTGATCAAACAAAGCAGCTCAATTTTGCCATTTCCGCAAATTCTGTCATCATCAGAATCCACTCCTCCATTGTGGGTGTTTTGGTATTTCTTCAATGTAGTGTATATAATTAATAGAATATCAGAGTTGGACGGGACTTTGGAAGTCTTCTAGTCCAACCCTTCTCAGGCAGGGAAACCTATGCCATTTCAGACAAATGATTGTCCAATCTCTCCTTTAAAATCTCCAAAGATGGAACATCTGCAGCAGGAGTGGTTTTCAATTTCGGCTGCTACCAGTTTGCTCATGGGTGCGTGTGCACTTGCACATGTGACACTTCTGCACATGTGCAGAAGGTTCTGCGCATGTGCAGAGACATCTGGGCGGGTGGGCGGAGCCTCCCGCTGCCACCGCTGCCAGTTCACTGGATCCAGGGCAAACCGATAGCAACCCACCACTGATCTGCAGGCTAGTTGTTCCAACTGGTTAATTGTTCTCACCATTGGGAAATTTCTCCTTAGTTCCAGGTTGCTTCTCTCCTTGATTAGTTTCCATCCATTGTTTCTTGTCTTGCTTTCTGGTGGTTTGGAAAATAGGTTGAGCCCCCTCTTCTTTGTGGCAGCCTCTGAAATATTGGAAGACTGCTGTCATTTCACCCCTAGTCCTTTTTTTCCCTAGACTAGAAATACTCAATTCCTGTAATCATTCTTCATAAATTATTCATTATATGCTACTAATTATATTAATTATCTTGCTGCAATCACCAGATACAAAATCAGTCTTCATGAGACTTTTACAATTGGTTATCCATAAAATCTAGCACAAAAACTGGGTTCATCTGAATATTGACCTTTAAATTTTTTGTTATCTTCATTTATATTTGTCCGCAGTATGTTTTTGCTTTTTCACAAGTCCACCATGCATAGTAAAATGACCTTTCATGTTTTCACATTTCCACCATTAACTAGAAGTACTATTATACATCCTAGATAATTTCTCTGATATCATACAACAATGGTGCATCATTTTATTAAAAATTTCTCTTATAATACAATGTGAATTTCAATCCTTTTAACCACATTCTCTCCCATCGATTCATATATTATAACCAAAATTCTTATCCATTTTATCTCGCACTCTTTAACTTGTTCTTTTTCTGTTTCAAGTCTCAACAAAAGTTTATATGTTTTAGCAATCATATGTTCATCATTTGTGCATAGTTCAGTCTTGAATTCTGTCTTAACGTTGTTCAATTCCTATTACTTTTTTTATCTATATTAAATCTTTCTCTTGACTGTGTCTGAAAACCATTGAAATCTAAATCTCTCTGCACTCAATTGTTCTCTTGACTTCCTTAAATTCTCCATATTCTTACACTAAGAAATCTTGATATTTCTCTTTGCCTGCTATTTATTTTCTGTAGAATGCTTCTTGAGCTGCAAACAACCTGATTTTTCCAGACTCTTCTCAATTTCTGGCATAAGTGCCACTGCTGTCTGGAAAGGGAGGATTTCAGCACCAACGTCTCCCAGGCAGTGCCCACTCTGGTACCACTTCATACCAAATTTGGCTATAGGTTTTTGCAAGATTAAAACATTGAGGTTTGCAGTATCACCTTTTCCCAGCTGATGTGAAGGAGCAGCCTTTTTCTGGGCAGGAAACAATAGAAAATACTGGGCCTGTTTAGTGCATTAACAGGTTTCAAGATTAATAAATGGAAGATAAAGATGTTAACAAAAATATGAAAATGGAAGATCAAACAGAATGGATGAATAAAACAGGTTTTAAGAGTGAGAAGAAGATAAAATATCTGGGTATCATCATTATGACAAATACTGATTGCTATTCCAACATAACTATGTTAAGAATGAATGAAATTAAAAAGAAGATATGTTAAGATGGGAGAAACCACAATTGTCATTGCTGGGGAGAATTTCTGTGATAAAATGAATGTCCTGCCTAGAATTATAACTTTTGTTTGTTTCAGACAATAACTGTTTTGACAGCTGATGTTCCATTTAAACAGTGGCAGAAGGATATATCTAAATTTGTGTGGCAGAGGGAAAAAACATGAGTTAAATCTAAGGTGTTACAAAATGCAAAGGGAAAAGGAAGACAAGGTTTACCTGGTTGGAAATCGTATTTTGCAGTTTGCTTTTTGGCTTCTGTGAAAGAGCAAATGTTGCTGAGAAACAAAAGCCTCTCTGAGTTAGAAGAGCAGGACTGGAGATTTGGGTGGCAGGGATGTTTGTGATACTATAGAATCAAGGTCAATGTGGATTTTCAAAATCATCATGTTAGATCATCATACCAGGCTGAGAACCTGGAATAGATACAAATCCAGGTTGGGCCTGAAAACGCCTTTGTGGCTCTCAGCACAAGAGGCATTTGAAAGACAAGAAATAATACACTAACACAAACGCAAACATCATGAGATAATAGCATTTTGTCAAGGGGAATGGAAAATACAAGTAGTCCTCAAATTGTGAGCACAATTGAGCCCAAAATTTCTGCTGCTAAGTGAGACATTTGTTAAGTGAGTTTTGCTCCATTTTATGGCCTTTCTTGCCACAGTCGTTAAGTGAATTACTGCAGCTGTTAAGTTAGTAACCCGGTTGTAAAGTGAATCTGACTTTGT